TAGTAAATAACTTAAAACACACACGGCACAGTATTGTTTACATTGACATTACCCACAAATGACGTCACGTGCTGTGATTGGTGTTCCCTTTGATGTATGATACAGACTACAATTATTGAAATAAATATAATTTTATTTCTTGACTTAAAAATATAAATACTAACTTTTTATCAATAATATTCTACAGATAGTCTTTAATTTAAGTAAACTTTTTAACCTAATACATAGATTTTTTTTATTTGATTGCTCTCCGATCCCCTATTGCTAACATGATTCCCGGTGCGGAAATCATGGCACAAAAACTAAAAAAAGTGTTTTTTTTTTAAATTTTACTATTAAGCATTGCCAAATTATTGCATTAAAATTGGTGACAATTAGGCCGTTCCCTAGCTACATCACTGATATACTATGAATCATAAAAATTAATATCCCCATTGACAAAATCACATAAAATTAAATTAAGGAGAGAATGCGCAATGTTTACTAAGAGGCATTCCATTCGCCATATTTCATTTAACACTGGGGACCAATTCAGAGTATTATTGAATTTCTTCGTTATTCCCCGCTTGGACCACATGGGGCCAACGGGATTAAATAGGAATTTAGACCCTAATGCAATTGGGGGAGTTACTCAACTTAGGTGTGAGTTATGCTACCTTAGACGAGGAGCTCGATAGCGCAGTGGTTAGTGCGCTTGTTATGCGAAAGAGTTCTTAAGCAACTTTCGCAAGGGCCAGTCATAGGATGTGTGATCAAAAATTTATTATGTGCTTGCAGTGCTTCAGAAAGTACTAATTCGTAGGTTCCGGCATCATTTGTAGTCGCTAACACCTACCAATCCGCACTGGGGTCTTGGCTCATTCTCACTATTTCACTTCATTCGATTCCATTCGCAGGGTCCTAGCAATGGTGATATTAATACGCTGGTGATGATAATGCTAGTTTTTATACATACCATACACTTTATAACTATGAACTGTTTTTTTTTACAATTTGTTATAAAATCAGCCACGAACTTGACGTTTTCGAAAGCAGCGCTGTCAAAACATAAAGGTTCGTTTAAATAAAACCTAATTCAAGAGGTTTTATTTTATTAAAGCTCTATACTATGACAGTATAGAGCTTCTTTCGAAATACCATAGCGGATCGTACGAATGCCAACCGTACGTCTCTTACTGAACTTAATTAGAAAAAAAATAAAGGTATGATATAATATTACTTACTTAAAATAAAAGTACAAAGGGGCAAGATTTCGACAAGTTTGTGACGGGTTCGATGCTTGGGCGAACGATTGAAAGGCTAACTAAGCTTGAAAACTTTATTTTATTAAACAGTAATAAAGAAAAGGGTAATGAAAAACTGTAACAAACAAAAAATTTATATAAAACAGTTCGTATGATACCTAAATATATAATTACAATTATTAAATACATACCCCTTTTTGGGTTTCTTCTAATATATAAACTTGACGATATTTCAAGAAGATATACTTTTAGATTAACAATTTCTATTAAAAATTATAATAACTTAATTATTATAAAATTTTATGTTTAAATTTATACGATTACAATAACATGTTCAGACCAGATGATTTTTTTTACGAACTGACATTCATATTTGATTAGTCAAAATGTGAAATTACGAAAGGTGAATAATAAAAAGAAAATGTTGAATATCAAAGACAAAAAGTTTGCATGCTGAAACCTAGGACAAATTAAACGATGGTACGGCATACCGTTACAAGTTAAACGATGCTCTGGTACCCGTTTCAAGTTTAGTGTAAATCCCGATGATGATGAATGGTGCGTAGTTTAATTTCCGCCCTTGCTGGAGGTTTTTCAGTGTGAAAATTTCACTAAAATTTTATTTTTAAGTTTTAAACTTCTTTATATCACTTCACACGTAACTTTCAATATTCATCATCATCATCATCAGCCCATATTCGTCCACTTTAAATATAAGAAATTAACTTTCAATATTAGAAGTTCTTAAATTGTATCTGATAACTTATCCGTTATATGATAAAGTGCACTGGAGATGACAATGGTTGCGTGTACTGAATCGTAATGCAGACACTGTTTTTCCATTAAACGTTTTAACTCCCAATAGACAAGTGTTATAAGTATGTACGAAATAAAGGTGCCATAATTTTAATCTAAAAATTTCCAATAAAAAGTAATCTTGTTTATTGACAAGGGTCCATATTAATTGGTTCACAATTTTTCACGTGTATCGCATAAAAACGCCAATAGCTGAGGTACTGGAAACTTTTTTAATTTTAAACTTAGTTGGGAGGTCAATTTGTAGACTCTTGTACAAAAGGCTGTTTGTTTAGGCTTAAAGTATATCTTGTTACGTTTTTTAAGGAACGAGGCTTTTTAAATATTATAAAAGTATAAAGATAACATAACATTAATATGAAAATTATTGAGTAAGATTAAGTTCAAACCACGCTTCAAGTTTGGGTTAATATTTAGATGCACCTCAAACGATATGACAGACATTAGTTATCAATTATAATATTGTTTCAAAAAGCGACAGATTTCCTTACATAAAAGGCAACATTATATATTGATGTATACGTATACAATAATTTTAATTACCGATGAAAAGTGAATTTAGAGAGATGGAATCGTGAGATATTTATTAATAAGTAAGTGTTTTTTTTTAATAATCCTTATAGAGGAGCAAGAAAAGTTTTCAAAGAAACTGCTAAGTAAAATGTCCGAAACGAACGCGTAAAAACTGTAAAGACAGACATCTAATTATTCAGAAGCAAGAGTACCATAATTCGATTACGGAGCGGGCCTTGTCACCGCGAAATTCCACCTAAAAGTTGCACCAGCCTTCACAAGGAGTTTAACAGAGACGTGACATCACTCGAACTTAACCTCCCTGAATTCAGCCGAGATACTTAGCAGTTCACAGAAATTTCCTCACAAAGCTTGTAACGCAAGTAGACACAATGTACGAGAAACTTCGACGTAAATCCGATTCAAATCCCCTTTGAGTTTTACACACGAGACGCGTGTAATGAAATATTTAATTGTCCATATACACTTGAAAACTAAATACATAGCTTAGTAAGGGATATATTAGGTAAAACCAGCTAAGGAATATAATATATGGAAATCCGTATTATTAATTATGAAAATGATATTTATAGAATTTGGATTAATGAAAATGATTATAATAATTAAACACAACACTTATAAGGCAGCCGAAAGAGGAATTGTTTTCCTTTAAACGAGACGTTAATAACTCAAGCAACCCAACTACAATAGATAGGCAAATTGTAATCCTGATTAACGATCACGTTACCCTTCAGCCTAAGTAGAACATTACATTTTTCATTCTTTTCTAAATAAATCAATAGTTAAAAGTACCCAAATCTAATGTAAAATAATATTTATAACTCTAGAAAGGCTGGACCGATTTTTATATTTTAAGATTTGTTTTTGAGACGGGAATAAGTATTAAATTACTCTATCCTCTATAGTTAAAATATGATAGTTTATCAAAAAATATAATAAAAGTGAATAACAGTGATGTGTCATAACAAAACTCAACTGACAGTTCACGTAATGTTGTCTATGTCTGTAACATCTGTAATGTTGTCTATGTCTGTAAAAATTATACTTAGTTATAGTTTTGTTCTATGGATAACGACTCTTGATGACTGCTCCAAATAATTTTCAAGTGCCATCATGTCATGCCATGCTATTTAAATACAGTGAAAAGAGCCTCTATTACTTTCTAGAAAAGCTTGAGAAAATCTTCATCTCTTTATTTTCTCGTATGTTGAAGATGTTTAAATGTCGAATTCTCTAACCTAACGAAAATACCTTTTGTTTTAAAAAACAAGCAAAATGTCCGATGCATCCGCATCTACAAAGTTATGAGAAATGTTTGGAGCGCCGTTCGATCACAAATTCCGCCATCAATGCAAAATATTTTATTATATTCCAGTCAGCATACTCTTGGCATAGCTAAAGGTATCATTATAAAATGCACATGACCCAACCGGCAAAATAGCGATTTTTACGGTTAAGTTAAAAAAATTAAACCATTTTTACGAATCTGTCATTGAATTGGGCCACCTTTGAGATGCATATCTCAATTTAAGGCTTTTTTAACGTAATCGGATAATATAATTATTAATTTTATGAGGAATCTCTTGTACTTGTTTGTTTTTTTTTTGAGTTGATTTGTATACCTTTCAATAATAGATACAGTATCTAGGAATTAACGTACTTTTCCAGAATTCCAGAAAATATAAGTAGTCATCAAACCTTGATGGAAATAATGTAGCGACTACTTTGAAGGCCGTAACTTATCCGGTTGTTTAAAATTTAATTAACAGGCGAATGATTTATTTTAACTTGTACATTTAAACATCTTGCAAGTCGTGCGAATTGATTTTTTAGCTCGAATCTACGGAATTAACGCTTCATTATCATTATTACCTTTACAAAGATTAAAGCCAGTTTAGGAGTTTGCGTCACAGTTGACTGCAAGTGCCAAATAAACCACCAATACTGTGCAAATGTAATTGTAAAAATAGATTTTTTAGATTGTTAAATAAGAAAATAGATTGTTAAATAAATCGACAACCTATGAAAAGCCAGTAACTAATATAGCAGAACATGACAGGAAAACCGCCTATTTTGACAACAACAATACATGGTTCGGAAAAAAAGACTAGATTTAAAAAATCAACCAAATACCTAGTATAGTCTGATCAAGATTTGCGTTTTGGAATAATTCAATTTAATTTAAGCTTCAAAATAAAGCTACCATCATATTCTATTACAGTATCTAAAATTTCGCCCAGGGGTCGGCAAGTATTTGCTTGTAAATAAGAAAGGGGTCCGAATGCCGATTTAAAATGTTTGTAGAAATCAAGGAAAAAGAATAACATTATAGGGCAATTCTAAATCCCTTCCGGAGTCCTGATGCGTACTGGAAATATTTTTATTTTTTATTGTTTTTTGTTTCAGGTGTTACGAGTGACGTGTGTGTTGTGCAAGTGATACAATACGAGTGAATGATGCTGTGTTAGTTCATAATGGCGCCAAAGTGGCGCTGCGGATGGGTCACGTGACGTCTGTTTTCCAAAATGGAGGATTCAAGTCCCGCCACCTCGATTATCGAGGGCACCGTAAAGTTCCGCGATGGAAAAAAGGTAAGATATTCGTTGTTGTATTTTCGAACTTAAAAGTATTTTATATCAGATTAAAAAAAAAATACTTGCAAGCATTTGCCGTTATCGTCATAACTTTCTATATCCCCCATCTATAGGTACTACACTTGCACACTATCTGCAACTCACAATTTATTTCTAATTGTTTTTAAATCCAATTTATATCCATAGTAAAATGATGTAGCTTTTCCTTTATCATAATATAGATTTAATTAATTCAGTATTAAATTATAATTGTTGGTTTTAGCATACTCATATAAGGCACCGCTAAAAGATAGGTGACAATTTTAACCCGTTTTATAGAGTTTGATTTTGTTTGGCGTCATATTACCTCATACTTACTATAAACTAGACTAGTAATATTTAGAACTAGCATTCCGCCACCAGATTTTCCCGCGTAGCTTACACGATAATTTGTACCTAGGGACCGTATAATTGGATATAAAAATATCGTATATGCTATTCAGGCTTAGAATTATACTAAATTTCATCAAACATATTGTAAACTAGTTTATTCGTGGAGGAGTCGTTACAATCGCAATAATAATTTTAAAGGAATTCTTCAGGAACTTTTAAATTAAAAATTGTGTTTTCGTAATATAGTAGCAATACTTCAAATCAGTGAGTACTTTGTTAGACTATCTCGCGTCTCGATAACGTATCTGTGCCGATATCGAGAAATGTGTCGCCATATCGATAAAGCGAATAGTGTTGTAACCCTTTTGTACGTAGTCAAATTATCCGTTTGTATAACTTATTTTAAGCGTTCGTTTAATATGAAGAAAAAAAAATTAAAATCACGTATATACTTACGTCACAAATAAGCTAATAGAACATGTGTTAACGTGAAAATTAAAAGAAGGTGAAGTAATTCTTTTTTTTTCTCTTAATCTTGTTTCGGCTCTCTGCAGTAGCTGATGAATTTTATATTAAGCTTAGGTATGTGTTAATAATAATAGTCTTAAACGGAGTCAATCTTTGTAAAGTGCTGACTTCAAGTAATAAATCAGTTGTATTATAAATCTGTCAAATTATCAATTTTAAACCTTGACGGATCAAGATTAAAATCGGCTTCAAACTTTTTGCAGTACCCTGATGCGCCGGTGCATGTATATTGTTTTTTAACTATTTTGGAGGTTGTTTTACAATTTTTATATTAATATATTCATTATCCTACTGATATTCTTGCCATGAAATAAGCTTTGGAAATAAGTACATTTTAAGTTGTAGTATTGATGTAACTGTCTAAATTAAAAATATATATATATATATATATATAAATTGGTATAGTGTACTACAAGTATTGTGATCTTACATCCTCTAAATTTATGTTTTTTTTTACTATCTAGTCCGTTCTCTAAATACGAAGATGAACACAGGACTGCCACGACTCTAATGTCCCAAAAGTCCTCTAAAGGTTTAATCAAATGATAACTTTGATATTAACTTATGAAATTGGTTTTATTGTGGTGAATATCTATGTTACAGCACTGTCTCCGGCGTTGCGTCGGATTTTGTATTTTTAAAAGAATAACACTGCAGAATTTTAAAAACATATAATTATTTATACTATGACAAATTATTTAGTAAAAAAATACTCTTACTAAACGCTGTACAACACTAAACATATTTCCTTATCTTTTATTAACGTCACTGTACTTAACCTATTGGTTTCTCAGAAGTATTATTAACAGAAAAAATATGCACTTCAGAGTTGTCAATAGTGACTACGAGTAGGTAGTTATTTTTATTGCAAAATTGTGAATTATAAAATAATTTAATATTCCACTTGTTAAGTCCCCAACATAACTAGCTTGATGGCCTGGTGGATAAGGGCCGCGGCCCGCGATCGTTGTCGATAAACAACATTCGCAAAGGTCGGTCATGGGATGAATGACAAAAAATCATTATCTCGAGCTACTCCGTGCTTTGGAAGGCACGTTAAGCCGTTGGTCCCGGCTGCATTTGAAGTCGTTAATACCCTCCAATCTACATCGAACCAGTGTGGAGGGTCATGGCCCATCCTCCTTAAATATCCTTAAGGAAGGCCAAAGCCTCTGCAGTGGGAAAGGGTTGACGATGATGATATGCCTAACAAGCTAAGTAGATATCAGCCATTTCAAAATTTTATAAATTACACAACGATATGACGAGGTTTTCAATTTAAAAACTTACTATATTATCCTTACTATACCTATGAATTGACACTTCATCATCATCATCATATCAGCCGGGAGACGCCAACTGCTGGGCACAGGCCTCTCCCAAAGATCTCCAATTGAAATTAAAAATTAACACTTATGTAAATTTAATTATTTGATATTAAAAATTGCTGATATCACTAGAGTAATCTTTACTCCTGTGGCTGATTTGTTTGCCGACTTTTACCGTCACATAAGAATGTAAAACTTCATGTTCATTTACTATACACAACGTAGTAGAGAGCGATACGAAATTTGAATCACACCACGGATTCTGTTCGATTTTCTAAAGACTGGAATTGAAATTCAAAATAACAGTAGTCAAATGTGTAATTTTACAAAACATTGAATAAGTTAATACTAAACTGATAGTTTTTATTTATTTCTTTTCAATGATACTTTACTACGGTAACACTATAAAAACACTAATTTGAGTATCATAGATACCCATTTTTACAGTTGAAACAGTAACTGAAACATTGAAGATATTTCATGGTTTTCTAGAATCAGTCGTGTAATAGTAACTAACCAGTATCAAAGACCATTCACTTAACACGTACTATCCTCGATAATGTTTACTTTACTTCATGCTTCCCGAATATTCCACTGTGTGAAGGTGTCTGATAACAATAGACTATATTTGATAAACACCAACCTCCAGTTACTTATAAGCCAGTACTATGGTATCTATGCAAAACAAATTGAGTCATTGTATATCCAATGGATAATAGGGCATATTACAGATATTAGACACCTTGAAGTTCAATCTGTCTATAATATTAGACACCTTGAGGTTCAATCTGTCTATAAATGTATAAGTTACACTAACCAATAACTCCAAATTTTGTTCTATAACTACATTCTCATCAATTCTTGCATGTATAAAACTGGGTTCCGTCAAACGACCAAAAACGACTTGTAAATATGCAAAAATAGAAACATTGCCCTTGAATTGACTTATGTATTCTAACCATAACGGTTTTCTGAGGTGGAATTTCATGAAGCCCTGTACTGGTAGACATAATTTATCATAATATTGAGATTTATCTAACAGCATTTATATGTAGACAACTTTGTATGACGTTTAAGTATATGAAAACACATTGAATAAACAATCGTATAACTATTTTCTAAGTGTTAAGTGTTAACAAATAACTGCTAATATATAGCATATCATTCTTAAATATGCATTTTTATTTAACGTATAATTAGTAATTTCCATAATAACTAGCATAAGAGAATCGTTCTCTATGTATTAAAATTGTTCTTTTTAATTAATTGTTTTTTTTCAGATGCTATTTCTAAATTTCTTTTTTGTTTATTCATTTCATAGACAAGACTTATGTAAACCATGCCAACATAATTGAGTGATAATGTCAATAAAACAAGAATGTGACTAACATTAGATATTGTTATTATCTTGTTTGTCATCTTGAAAAGTAATATTTTTTAATACTTTCAATATTTCAATTTTCGCCTCAAATTTTTGTCTATCGTTTAATTTCTTAAAACCTGGTATCAGAGAGAGCATAAACTGTCTATCTTCATCTTCATCTTCTAGCTTCTTCTCTTTCAACAAGTCCAGTAACTTCTCTTCCACGACTCTACTCTCTTGTTGTTTTTCGTAATAGGAATGGAATTGTTCTTCATTTCTTTCAATTGGTATTATTTGTGGTATATTCCTGGAAGTCTTGGTTGGCTCCGGGTACAGAAAGTTCTCTATTTTAATCTCATGATCTAAAGGATCACTTGAATCTTCATCGCTATCTTCGTTAGTTTCCTTTGTTCTTTCTTCTGTATCTGCTTCTAAATCTATATTTTCTGGATAGAGAAGAAAACTCATGGCGTCGAAATATTCATATTTCTTTCGTTTTTTATGAGGACCATAGTCATCATCAGGATCATCTTTCTTCATCTGATCTTTTTTTTGTAATGCCAGTTCCCGCGTGAAACAAGTTCGTAGACTCTTCCATCGTTTTTGCAGTTCAAGATCTGTAAAAATATGATCAGTATCAACAGTAATATAATACATACATGTTTTTGTGTATTTAAATCATGAGCCATGAACGTAAATATTATATTTAGTGAGTTTCATTGTTTTCTTGAATATCTCAAACTGATAAATATTTTCGAATCAAAATTACATAAAAAAGATCAAAATCTTCACTTTTAAATTACTTTTTACCTGTATTTTGTTATTATGAATCATCAAAACTGAATCATCTTTGGTCCCGAAATTTCCCCATAATATTTAAGTTTGCAGCTTTGTATTAAAGACAGACTTATGCGAGAACTTCGGAGTTGTCGATATAAAATCTAATTTAAAAAAGTCGTATGGTATCTTCATTTAAGATCAAAACATTTAATCGGTCTCACGAGAACTCGATTACAGCACTTTAACAAACTAAATTCAAGCAAAACTTTTGTCATTGTTAGCTGTTCATTCTGAGTGACTTCTCTTTTTCAACCTTTTAAGATTCTTCTTATAGGTTTTTAAATAAATAAAGTAAAAATAAAAAATCAGTCTTATTATAAAACTACGACTAATTTTAGTACAAGCTTTTATAGTTATCGAAAACTAATTACGTTACCAAACATTTCACAGTAGCAAAAGAAGATATTTCTAGGAAACAAGAAAGATTTATTTAAAAAGAATAATAATTTAATATTAAAATATGTAAAATTTTGTTATAAGCATTTATCATTTTTGATAAAAGCAAAAATTGAAAACCAAGTAAAGTTGTCGCCACTAATATTATAATAGGAAAATGTATTTGTTTGACGTTCCTGTACTTGAAGATCCCAGGAGTGCCTATTGGGGTAATATTAAATAACTTTAATTTAGATTAGGCCGATTTTGAAATTGTATTTGATGACATTGTTTTTTGTCTATCTGGGATAATGAAAATTAGCACTGACAACACGTTTTGACTATGTCTAAGACATGGAAGACAAGACGGAAAAAAGAAGCCTTATAAAATAATATAATAAAGTATAATAACCCAAAATTTGGCTGTATGGCTTAGTTCCATCGCCTGTCCCATGGACGAAACTACTACTACTGTCTATGACATGCATAATTTTTGTCTAAACATGTAACTGTTGGTTTACGAAGTTATTTTATGAATTAATTTTGTTACCACATCGTTGACACACTACACGTAATTGAGTTCCCCAACAAAACTTCACTTTTACTTTTTTCTTTTTTAATTGTTTAAAAAGGAATATAGATGATAGAATTAACTTGTTCTCAAAAAAAGTTTTCCCATAGAGAAACTATATGTTTATACTTTACTCTTTCTTTGACGTTGTATATATATATATACTTTACTCTTTGTACTAGAACATAAAAGTTATTATGACTGTTACTTCGTTTTGTTGGATTGTCGCCCGGATTGTGAAGTAATAATGGCTCTGAGTCCCATCTCATAGTGCCAGGAACAAAGTAGACTTTTTGGGTATTTTCATTAAAAATATTTTCAGTATAGCATTGTCAATGCAAAATTTATCAAATATAAAACTAAGTGTTTCATAACGGAACGATTGACAAAACTCAGATTGTTTTCGTTTTCCGTTAGAATTACTTTCAGTTAGACGGTAAACTTGTAACTCATACATCGTTTTTACTCGAAAACTATTCGATAACCACCATTTTAATTTTTTTGGTTTCCGCTAGAGGCACCGTTGTGAAATAGGTATATGGAAACAAAATGTGGCAAAGATATTTTTTGAGAAGACGTATGCGTTGCGTCGTTGTCTTTTTCTTTTTATAAACGTATAAAAGAGACCACAATAGAGATGTTATGTTCGTTCTATTGAGTAATTCGATGCTTCATAAAATTTGAACGTAAACTATAAACGATATCCTAAATTATATAGTAAAAAAATAATTTTCGTTTTAACCGAAACTAAGCTATAGTTTTTAATGACAAACTTGTACTAGAGGTACAGTATAAGTAAATATGTCCCAAATTAACGTTTTCTCATTCTTATGTCATTGTTAATTTGCTTTAGGCTGCCAATTATTTTAAAACAAGTACTAACTTGAGTCTTTGTTTCATAATAAGATGGGAATAGCTTATCTACTAAACGAATAAAAGATGAAATTTACGTGAAGGAAATAGCCTTCAATTATCTATTGTATACTCAGTTATAAAATAGACGGTATTCTTATGAAAATACTAATAAGAGAATTGTTGTAAAGATGAATTTACGATCCAATACAAAGCTATTTTAGATAATCTCAAAACTATTACTTTAGAAGTTACATACTAAGACTCTCTCTCATATATATTGAAACGTTATTTACGACCACTAAAATTGACATGGCTTATAGGATAATAGTGACGGAATAAATTGTTTCTATTGAACCTTTTTAAGCCATCTATAAACCAAATGGTATTAAGGGCGACTTAACGTTTAAGTTGTTGGTAAATACATGAAGTTATATTCCATTAGGTCATGCATGTCAGTCTATACAAAGTTACACAAAACTGATTTGTAATGTAAAATTTATTTACTGTCTACTTAGTTAGTTACATTTACGTTTGAAACATGTGTTTTTGGGATATCAAAACCCGTGCAATATACATAATTTAATTTTGTATTGCCTTTTTATGCTACTAGGTAGATATCTGGTTTTGTCTCAAATTTATTACTTTAGTATATCTACTAAAGCAATAAATTTATTTAAGTAGATACTAAAGTATACAAAATCATAAACCAAGTAGCCGAATTCCTTGTATTATAGAAATATGAAACAACTAAGGTATCACCCAGATTCGAGATAATATAGAAAAGTTCATTTTCTACATTGACTCGACAGGGAATTGAACTCGGGCTCTTAGACATGACGACCGACACGCTTGCTTTGAAACGGGCATTTGAGCCACTCAGTCACGGGGTTCGTCACATTTACCGGAAACCGTATCCGAAACCTCAGCTACGTACTGTACTTTAAATCTCGGATATAGAGTCGATAAATGCGATTCAATGCTTATTGGAATTAGTAAACCGATCCTTATTTCAAGGCCGTATGGCAGATAAGCGCACGCAATGTTTTAGCGTCTCTTAACACATAGTTACCTACTGATTATATACGTAACTAACCGTAGTCACGTATGTATAGTAACTAACCTACTTTGAGCACACGTTTCAAACGAAACTCAGTTGAATAACGATCTATCTATAATTCTCTATACATCAGACATAAAAACGATCAATTAAAATCAATCTTAATTGAGAATTCATTAAGTAACTCATTTGTTACATAAAATATTCGGGCACTTGACATAACTAAATACCTATTGTCCGGTCTAGCTCAAAAGCCAATGCCAGCGCTGTCCAAAACGCATTTACTTTCTGAGGTAATTAACTTTATTGTAAAAACATTAAGGCCAACTTGTAAAGGGAAAAATTTGCAATAAATGAATTTTATTTATTTAGTTACGACACATAACAGATTACAATCAATTTCATCATACATAGTATTAAGAAGTTACCTGATTCCGATCATAACCCAAAAACATGTCTTTTATAACAACTTACATGTTATTTTACAATTTAACTTTTCAATTTTCAAAATTAAGCATTTGGAATATAATCAAATAGTATTAAGTATTGTAATGATAATTACAATTTCAATAAAATAAAATAAATAAATGATCATAAATTAAATAATAAATTATTACTCTCAAATTAATCAAACGAAATGAATTAAATCATTAAACAAATTAATCATTACATTATGGTAAAAAAATTCTAATTCTATTAATAAATAAGTTTCTATTAAAATTAAATATAACAATGTCAACATTATGTTTAACGTGTTCATTATTTTGACAGCACATACGGACTATTGGATTAAAGAAAGAGGTGTTATCGCGATATACGTCTAGCGTGAATATCCTTTGGTTACGAAAACGGCAGTTAGTGTTGAACCGGATAAGCGAAAGAAGGTAAGGAAAGTCAATACAACCAGCAAAATCCTATGCAAGTGAACAAGATGACTTCATTCACGACGGCACTCGTTTACATAATTAGAACCTCTTTAGACGTTTATCGTATGTATCTAATTCTCGAATGAGGTGGTATCTAAAACAAACTAATCTAAAGGCACGTATTTGAATCCCCTCAATACTTAATATTAATAGCATAGTATGGGTTAATATGAATAGCATAGTATGGCTATGGGGACCATATAATAGAGTTTTACTCCAGCAGGCTTCGGATGACAAACTATGTAGGTATATAATAAAAGTTTTGGAATAAAACTAACCGACGATAAATGTCTTGATAAAAAATCTAAAGATTCATATAAAGTTCATGGTTCATCTACAGATAGATTGACCTTTATTCAACAAAAGATAACATAAGTAATCATAACATAGCCTCACTAGCTCATAATGAATTACGCAAACAAACTCGTATCTAAGTCTAAGTAAATTTAATACCACAAACTCACCATATTCAACCTTCTGCGATGGTTGCAATTGGTCCCAATTCGGATAAACATCCCGGCAAACTTCTTTCCATATCTTTCCTTTGTATTTATTATGCGCATGGTACCTAGCATCTGCCTTGTTGTACAACGAAGGCCTCGCTTTAACAGCTTTTATTAGTTTATCTGCGCTGATTTCGCACATCGTGGAGCAGCGTGCGTCCACAGTCGCGCGATCGGAGCAACTAAATATGGCTGCCGCTCGCGTAATGGCGTCGCTGTAGCGCAACTGCTGCGCGATCACGTATTCGATCGACTAGGGTATACATTGTTTTATGTGAAATATGAAGACTATTAGCTGTTTTATATTTTTTATTTGAAAGAATGTGAATTAGTTTGGCTAACTTCACATTTTTCCACGCAAAAATATTTTCTGCAAAATAGCGGTTAGTTAAATATTAGATTTCCGAATGAAATGAGACGTATTTAATGAAAAAAAAATGTTACCAAATGAAATTTACTAAATGAAACTAAATAAACCTGTTCAAATTAAAGGTAAATAAATTAAATTAAATGTTACGTATTGTAAATTAATATGAAAATTTAGTACCTACTTAATAAAGATATCATTTTAGTTGTAAAAATGTAAAAAAACAAATACAGAATATTCCACAATCTTCAGATGCCGTCTGGCAACACTGCTGCACTGTGGCAAAATTTATATCTGAACAGTTTAGCTAATAGTATACATAGAAGTCTTTGGTACAATAATACTAGAAGCGTACAGGAAAAATATAGGCTGTGTGGTTAACCAACATCGACGGAATGTTGCAATGTAATTGTTCCGTGGCATATCCAAAGAGTTGTAACAAAGAGCGTCTTGATTGAACTAAAGAGCTAGAAGAATTGTTCAGATTAAGAGCCATATTACATCGCAACTGTGATTTCTGCGTGATTTTTCTCGGAAACAAAAACAAATTAACAATTTTGACTTGTTGAATAGTGAAGAATAACTCTTGGTATAGAAATTAGTGGCTCAACTTTTTGGAAATTTTGCTCATCTTTTTAATTAAATCCAAAATACCAGAGAAAGTTTTTCATAAAATGCGCAAAGACACTTTTTTGAAGTCCTGGATTGAGCTACTGTTCTTAACAAACGAAATAAAAGAAATAGAATGATATCTCTTATATAGTCGTAAAGTAAACAGTAGCTCGAAATTTTGAAATAGCACTGATTAAATATAGAAAAACAATTATATTACAAACCAAAAAACATCAAAAATTGCTTGAAGTTAACTTTGAATTTCTCTTAGCCACAACAATATTATTTAACAAAATTTATGCCAGATTAATGACTATTTCATGAGGAACAAAGTTATTATAATTTTAAAGCATAAATTTATTATATTATTTCAATAAATACGATAAATGTAAACGCAAAATCACTACAAAATAAGATGCAGCGGCCGTCTGAGCTCAGTACCGCGCGAGCGCTCCTCAACGTAAGACCTGTGTCGCATTTCTTCGCGCCATTTTTCGATCTAGATACGTTCGAGCGAGCGTAAATAGAGCAGTATAGTGGGACTTCCAACTTTGGTCACGAAGTTCGATTTATATGGAATTTATATAGCTTATTGAATTATTTCTAATACACATTTGTTATTTTCAGCATAGGTCGAAAGACCCCTAGGTATATTTGTATAAGAAAGTTAAAATATATATTTATATTATGAAATGCAAATAAAGCAAGGTACTTCTTCTCTCAATACACTTATACTAGTACATAAAATTGGAGTGCATATTTGTAATATTAAAATAACCGCTTTTCACTAAATACATTTGTGTGTATACATGGTACATATACAAAAATAATATATTTTATCTGTCTGTCTGTTAGTTCTGGCTAATCTCTGAAACGGCTTGGCCGATTTTGAAGAGACTTTCACTAGAAGTTGACTTACGTAATGAGGATTAACTTAGACTTATGGCTCGATGCAATTCGACCGATATCAAATTTATCGGAGATCCGCATATGAAACAACTTTTTCTAAATTCAATATATTTTTAATCCCGGACGCAAAAACGACGCGGTGTTATAAGTTTGACATGTCTCTGTGTGTGTGTGTGGTGTGTTTGTGTCTTTTTGTGGCATCATAGTTCCCGAACGGATGAACCCATTTTGATTTTGTTTAAAAGGTGTATTAGTCGGGAGTGTTCTTCACTTTGATGAAAATCGATACAAGATGGCCGCCGCCACAAAATGTCGGATCACATATTTTATCACCATTCCATCAATATGGGTATCAAATAAGAGGGCTTGAGTAGTATAATACTGAACACTATGACAAATTTCAAATCCAAGATGGCCGCCACCAAAAATGTTGGATTACCTACATATTTTTCATGACTCCCTCAATACGGACATTAAATAAAAGGGCTTGAGTAGTAGAATACTGTTTACTATGACAAAATTTTATATACAAGATGGCCGCCGCCACAAAATGTTGGATTATCTATTTATTTATTTATTTTGTACACACATACAATTTCATATAAACAAATGTAACAGACATTAGTACAAGGGCACTGCTTATTTCAAATTGAAATTTCTACCAGCAGGCCCAAAACAGGAAAAAGAAATACAATAAGGTAGTCAGTGTGTACCTCCTTAATAAATTAATATGGAATAAAAAAAACAAATTCAAATACCGGGAAAGAGAGAAAATAAAAATACATAACGGTTCAAACATTATATAAATAATAATAATAATATAATCCGTTTTGTGTGAAGGAGTTTGAAGACTTAAGGTGGGATCTGCAAAGAGCATCAGGAGAACGGAGAAAGGAGAAACGCTCACGCAGATAGGAAGGATAGACGGGATTATACAGGATGTTGAACAGAAGACAGACAATCCTGACATATCTACGCTGACGAATGGGAAGCCACATGAGCTGCTTACGTAAATGTGACACATGATCATACTTACGAAGACCATAAATAAATCTAATCGCTAGATTTTGAAGTCGTTCAAGTTTGTTTAATAACTCCTCCGTGGCATCCAAGTAACATGCATCTGCATAGTCAAGAAGAGGTATAATTAAGGATTGTGCTAGTAACACTTTAGTCTTAAAAGGTAAAAAGTTTTGAAGGCATTTAAGTGTGTGAAATGAGAAGAAGGTCCTACGACTAACCTCAGATACATGGGCAGTCCATGATAGATTTGAATCCATTGTTATTCCAAGATTTTTTACAGTGTCTGTTAACTCGATCTGAGTCCCATCCAAAAGCAGGGGTGGTAAAGATAATGCAGAAATAGAATTTATATTAAACCTGCTACCTATCACAATGGCCTGAGATTTACTCAGGTTAAGCATGAGGCCAAACGATTTTGCCCAAGTACTAATGCGATCCAAATCGTTATTAATAGCTACCAGTGCCGAGTTACAGTCTTCTATTTTAAAGTGTCGATAAAGCTGCAAGTCGTCTGCATAGAGTTGGAAGATATAACTTTAGTAACCGAGTTAATGAAAATAGAAAATAAGAGAGGTGAGAGAACAGCACCCTGAGGAACACCCGCACCGAGGTCGCACCAATCAGAAGATTTATTACCAAGACGCACACGTTGCGTGCGTCCCCGAAGGTAGGAATTAAACCATGAGAGAACAGAAAGAGAGATACTGCAAGAACGAAGAATAGCGAGAAGAATGTCAAAATCGACAGAATTAAAAGCACTGCTGAAGTCTAGAAGAATTAGAACTGTAAGAGCTTTATTCTCCATAGCCCAACGTATATCATCAGTAATGTTTATTAAAGCTGTTACAGTACTGTGACCAGGGCGGAAACCAGATTGGTACCTATTCAAAAGGGAATAAGAAAAAAGAAAAGTTGATAATTGCTTATGAACAATATGCTGAAGAAGTTTAGAGAGAAGGGGAAGAATAGAAATAGGACGAAAATGAGATGGGACTGAAGGATTAGATACTTTAGGCAGTGGAATAATGTGCGCCATCTTCCAAATTTTGGGAAAAGAACCGGATTCATATGAGAAGTTAAGTATGTGAACAAGTATAGGAAGGAGAAAAGATAAAATAGGGGTAAACATTCTTACGCTTAGGTTGTCCTCGCCAGCAGCCTCGGAAGAAATGGCTTGAATGGTATTTTTAATGTCAGTTTCGGATATTTTTGAAAAGACAAAAGATGTGCAGTCTGGCCTCGGAACTAGTGAAAGTTCTGTGAGCGTAGAATCCTTTATGTCACCATCGATAGTAGAAGAAGGAAGGGAGAAGTGTCTGTTAAGGACGCTTAAATCTACATTGGTAGACACAGTAGCAGTAGATTTCCCCACTCCTACAGAGCGCAAAAACCGCCAGGCATCAGTAGGATTGCGATCAGTAAGAGAGCTATGGAAGAAGCGTCGCTTAGCATCCCTACACATACGACTGCAGCAATTTCGAAGAACCTTAAAACGAATAAGATTGCGGTTAGTTGGACGTTTCTTATATGCTCTTTTTGCCTTATCTCTTTTTTGACCACCAAAAAAATTGACCACCCATCCAATTGCCGGCCTTTGCAATCGTCGCTTAACCTCCTCAATCGCAGATCAAACGAGCTATCCGGCACCATCGAGCTTTTCATTTGTTTATATACGGATATTGCCGTATTTTTTTGTAAAATTCAATATATTTTGATGATATGGTAAGTATGAGCAAATGAATCGTTCCTCGATATTATTGAACAGAAAATCAAAAGCAGATCGAGCGTTCTACCACCTTCATACATTTGAAGTGATACCGCAGACCATGAGATTTGTGACCGATATTGACAGATAGTACAATCTCATGAGCAAACACTTGAGTTTTTTCATACATTTTATAAGTGCATGCGATTCGTGTGATATCGTTCATTCATATCGAATAACATCGCATCTAGCCATGAGAAAAGAAATAATTCTAATTAATATAATTCTAATTTACTACTTTTCCAAACAGGAAACAGTCCATGTTTCCTATGGATGACGAAAATATTTCGAAATCGTCGACGAAAAATATGGCACGAATATTTTTTAATTAATATTTATAATTTTATTGATATATTGTCATCGCTATTTATATTTATAGCCTATGATTCGGCTAAACTTGTTTCTTTTAATTTTTGTCCGATCTTAGCAGTCGTGTTTTTAATTTTTAAATAATTTTTATATTTTATTCATTTTAGTGAGCAGTTAATTTTGTATACAGATTATATATTTTTAATGGACCTTTAATTTGATACCCATAAAGTTATGATTATAAAAAAACATACTTTTTTAAATGGCGTCACACGTCCCCATACCTATTTAATATTAATAATTAAGCTAGTTTCACTGATACTCTATGTATTTTGTGGTAACTTGGGATGATGTTTCTAATGATACCCTGTACATTCATATCCGTTATATCTTTCAAAAGTTATGGTGCAATAAAAATACTCACATACATACATTAATTCTAAAAACAATAGACTCCTTTTCGAGAGCAGTCGTTTAAAATATTCGGGAATCGATAATGAATCTCACCATAGAAATACTAAAATAAATACAAAAATTGGGAAAAGTATCAAAATAGCTTGAACGTGGTTTCAACACAGTATTGTGGACTCGTGACCTTGAACAAGTTCTCGAGAACTCAAATCACAGAGTGAAAATTTGTCATATGGCTCTTAACAAATATCACTACATAGTATAAAACAAAGTCGCTTTCTCTGTCCCTATATCCCTAGGTATGCTTAAAAATTTAAAACTACGCAACGGATTTTGATGCGGTTTTGATGTATACTACAAGACCACGCGGGCGAAGCCGCTGGCGGAGAGCTAGTAATAGATAAATAACAAATAATAAGACATGTTAAAATACCGATATGTTCAAACGACATTTTGGTATTATGATAAAAAAAGCAATATTCACCCTGATAAAAAAAAGGAAAAGTGGGTTATTTGAGAATTTTTTATAAATTTTTTCCGATAAATTTAAATACCATTTTTTTTTGTTACAGTGGAAATCGCGGTGGTGTGTCATGCGTAAACTTTCTCCAGTGGCAGGTAAAGTATTATTTTAATTACAGATTACGTTAAATCTTATTAATCGCAGATACAGACAAATTATACAAAGATTTAATATCACACTTTATTATCAAATCAATATATAACCTAAACAAAAGTGTGAATAGGTGATACAATACACTATAAGTATTAAATTACTTATAGACGATATGCTAAAGAGTGAAAGGTCAAAGGAGATTCTAGTTTTTGTAATACAAACTAAGCGTTATTATTACAGCAAATTCTAAACTGCCTAGTTTTTTTTATTACTTATTGATGTATTTATTGTTATACCTTTTGAACTAGAATAACAAATATCTCAGACTAAATATCAAACACTATGTTAAGTTACTACTGAAGAAAGGTATATGGACTTTGAGAGAATTAACAGAAATTGTAACAGGAAAAGAAACATCTCTAACTTATTTTTGAAAATGTTTATTAATGTTTATAAAACAAATGATTTGCCATTGACCACAATATTGACTATACATTGTAATGTTTAAAAAAAAAATATAAGGAGGCATATAAAATGGGGCAAGGTGGATGTAGGTAGGTTTCCACCTGCAGAGATAAAAACTTTGAAATTCAAAAAATATTATGAAATAATGGTAATTCTATTAAGAACACTGCTTACCATTATAAAATATTGGGTATTTTTACTAAAATACCGTAGATGTAACTCGATTTAAAAAATGAAAAAGATCCCACATCTTTTAACTATATAAAATGGTCGTGAAGTGACCAGAAAAGACAAATGTCAAAACTGACATTGAAGTATATATATTTTTTTTTAATTACAAACCTTTAAATTTTACCGTGGGCTGAGGTCCATTCAGCCGAGTTGTAAGTAAAATCTATGTAACCTAAATTTTTCTTTCAATTCTCACTAGACCCGCATAGCATTTTATCGGAACCAATATGTTTCAATCTATGTTGTAAGCCGATACCCAACTTATAATTGTGCTGATGAAGTATACACATAAACTTATAATTGTGCTGATGAAGTATAAAAGTATCAAAACTGCTGCAATAAATACAATAATAATATACTTGGTATGCATAAAGGTATTCGTAGAAGAAATATTATTGGCATCAGTATAATTTCTACTTTAAAATAAATGATATATTTTCTACATTACATAATTTACTCACATTTGAAATTAAGTATCTGAAACCTTTGTGTTATGGAAATGTGAAATGCCAAACCCGACACAATTTAGAAAAGATCATTTTCTACATTATACCAATTGGCAATCACACCTTACTCTTCTTTATTGGAATCATATTGACTTTAAATACATATCCTATTCATTAAAATTTAACTTAAAGGCAAATATTATTACAAATTCAGCGGTCTCCAGCGCACACTTGCTTAGAAAGTATCTATTTACCGAAGTCTTGGAGAGAACTAAATTTTAATTTATCGCCAATCAACATGATCTATGTCAAAGTTAGCGAGTAAATATAAATAGGCTTTCTAGGTAAGTATTCATAGGTAGTATTATGAATAGTATTAAATGTAATATTGTTAATAGTATTCAAAGTTATTTTCTATGGCTAAAACGGTAATAGACACTGAAACTCTCAGTAATAGATTAGCCTATACATTCTAGAAATTCTGTTATTATTTCATTAACAGAATTTCTGTACCCAGGATCTATGTAGGTATTAATATTTAGCTCGAGATCTGCATGCTTACTCTTGAACGCAATCACGATTGTTCCACATTGCAATTGTGACGTTTCGTACTTTTGATTTGGCACATTAGCGCCAATTGGCTCAATATTGTGCGGTTATTGAATGAACTAATTGACATCGAGTAGATATTGAGTCTGTTTCAAAAGTAGGAGCTAAGATTTGATAAAAATTAAGATCGTAATTGGATACTTGGCTGTCGGACAATTGTCCTTAATCTTGTATGAGAAACCAAATGGCGTTTGTCGTTAGGATTTTCCCGTCTGAATTTAAATTGAACTGTTACAAAGCTAACCATTAAAACGTTCGATTTGGCAGACCCTATAATAAGGTGACCACAATTTATTCCAGACGAGGGCTAGTAGACCGATATCCCATTATACGAAGGCCGATAAGCAAAAATAGTAAATCCCAAACAATTCGTTTTGTTACTGAAACTCCCGGAGGCCATTATTACTTATTTGTGTGTATTGAATAGATAGTCCCTTCAATTTCCCCTCTAAAAGGGTCTTAGGTTAGGTCGATAAAGTGGGATATAAAGATTTAATTGCGTTCTCTTTTTCCTATTTGTCAATAAGCAACTAATTAATAACAATTTGTTATTATCAATATTTATAATTTATTAATTTATACTAGAACCATTTATCTAAAAGAGTAAATAATTGAGGCTAATTTAATTGTGTTTTAATAAAATAAATATATTTTCAGTACACCATTAAACTAAATTAGCAATTTACATACTAATTATACTTTATTTACTATAATGTGTATCACTAACCAGGTATTATTTTATAACATTTGTATAGCATAAAAATGCAGCAAAACTTTAAATAAATTGATGTAATTTCCTTAACTTGAACGTAATATTACGTTGGGTTTCTCAGAAATAAAAAACAGTGCTAATCGACAACACCATTAAGTCTTATTCCAAATGTTTAAAGAGGATAATCGCTTACAAATTTGTAAGATTAAGTTTGTTACAAAGCAGGTAATAACTTCCTAACCTTCTCAAGACCTTGAAGAATATTTCAATGTTATCGTAAAAAAGGGGAAAACGGCGTTACAATTTTAAGAATTTACAAAAGAGCCCCTGATTTAGCATATACAACATTTTCATATCTAAGCGTTTCTATATCTTATATATAAAAATGAATCGCAAAATGTGTTGGTAAGCGCATAACTCAACAACGCCTCGACCAATTTGGCCAAATCTTTTTTTAAAATGTTCGTTGAAGTTCAAGGATGGTTTTTACGGCGAGAAAAATTAGAATTATTGCTGGAAAAACCCTAAAAATAGCCCTTTTCTTTTTCCCATACAAATGATTTGTAACTAAAACGTAGTCAATTTGAGCTTTATTGCTATGGTATAAAGTTCATATTAAATTACAAGCACTCACTGTTGTCTAAGCAATGTAGGTGTGTTCCTAACGTCAAAGATCATATCTATCAAAACAATGTGCGTGTGTGCGTTGGAGCACAGAATACATAGTTGGAGGAGTTTAATGTCGCGTTCCGAAACTCGCGTTTCTTTTGTATTAGTTTCGGCACGCGAGATAAAATGCATCAGAATTTTTTTAAATACGTAGGCAAAAAAACTGCCACATTACAAATCTTTTTGACAAGACGAAGTCTGTCGGGTCAGCTAGTTGATAATAAAAATTACTTTTAACTAGACATTTATTTTATAATTTTCAATATGAAATATCTGTTAATCGAACTGTCAGTCACCTCTAAATTTATTTTATTATTTTTAAGGAAAATATCATGTATAATAAAAGGCCTTATTCACTTCTAGATTTAAATATTAGGTAAACAATAATTTTAAGCAAACTGTCGGATCAATAGTGTTCTATTCATTGTAGTTGTTTTAAAACTGATAAATAGGTATTACAGAAAGCATATCTGTTAAATGAACGCTACTATTTCGTTTTTCGATTTATTAAAGATAGTGGTTACATTATTTAAAAAAAAAAATCACAACAAAATTTAAATCTGATGTGACACTTGCAATAATATCGATCTAAGAAATTGATATCATTGTAATAAAAACATGTTGTAAATAATACGAATTTTATTTTCATCTTTTTATTGAAACATAATACTTCTTCTTACTGAATTTACGAAAAAGCTCTATTCAATCACATAAGCCTTACACAGGGAAACTGTTATGAATTCATATCGAGTAAAGCATATAGAAATTTGAAAGGCTTCTCATAAATGTCGCAGATGTGATATTTTCTGTGTCTATTGGGGTTCTCCAGGGAGTTGTCTGAGACCCAAGAGGTTTACTTTCAAAAGTAACTTTCGCATTCAATGTAAATAAAGGCTGTTCGGAGCTAAAGGAGTACTTAAGTGTGTTTATAACCTTACGATCTAAGGATGTCAACAATATTTGTTTTGTAATCAAATTCTATAGCATTTATTTCATAATTCAGTAATTGTTAACGTTTTCTTATGGTTGGAATATTAACATTTTGTGGTAAAAAAATATGTACATCTTAAATGTTAAATATTTTGTTAGTATGTACTAATTTCTACACCACAAATACCCAGATTTGAAATAATATTAAAAAAATAATAATTTGCCATAATAGGAAATGCTGTCGTTTTGTTTCAGATCCGGTTAAAAACTGTCCAGACATTAGAATTCTCTTTACGTTAAATCAAATCTTCTGCTAAGGCACTAATGTTAATAGCTTTTCCTTTTTAACAAAGCTGCTTCGTTGACTGCTGACCAAGCTGACCAAATAAAGAATTCGATTTCCTTCAACCACAAGTTAAACGAATCATTTGCATACGACATTTTCGGATACGACAACAAATGTTGTGACTTTCTAAATCCTTGTGGGAAACTAGTATCAAGTGACTTGCTTGTAATAATACAATTAGCTGTCCATATCCGTATAAAACTCAGACAATATACTTACTTCTCTACTTCTGAGGTCCCGGATTCGATTTCCGGTCGGGTTGATGTAAAAAATTAACTTTTCTATAATGACTCGTGTCTGGGAAACCTGTAGTGACACATACAACATCTAGTGTCTGATATTTATCAGATAAATAAATAAATAAATATTGTAGGTACCAGCGCGTCATGTTAAACAAAACTGTAAAATATTTTTTCTTCACAGTGCTCTTTTTTTTATTGTTTTTAAGAATCAAATAAATAGTGACAGACAGTGGTTACTTAAAACGTAATCAAGTAGAATATTGGTTATGTTTTGTGTGTTTTTGCGGTATTAGGGGTAGGATTAAATATAATCGAATATATTAATGTGAATTGATTTCCGAATTCATAACGT